TCAACAACATCCTATGCGGCTACTCTCTTCCTCAACACATCCAGCTTGTCAACAAGCTGGACTGTGTCGTCACCCATGCTGAGGCCAAACATCACTCTCTGCAGCTACATGCTGAAGGCAGCAGCAGAAGATGCCCAGGCACAATCCGATCCTCAGTGATGACACAGACGTCTTCGTTCTCCTGGTGTACTGACATCAAAAGGATGCGGGTCATTGCCAAGATTCAAATGGAAAAGTGGAATTGGTGATGTCCTGGATATCAACAAAAACTGTTGAGCGGTTAGGCCCCAGAAAGTGCAGCCAGCTCTCGGTGTCCATGCGCCTTCAGGCTGCGATACGTGGTCGTACCCCTTCGGAAAAGGAAAAACAGCCAGCACTCAAGCTCCTCGGGATTGATATACCAGGTCTGGATCAAGTGCTTGGAGAGCTTGGCCGCACCATGCTCAACTCAAAGCGACAGCAGACAGTTCTTCTTCCCTCTCTACGGACAGAAAAGTTGTACGACAATGAATGATGCACGTACTCGCCTCTACCGCAGCCATAAGAAGTCGCCACAACTGAAGAAACTGCCACCGACTGACGTCAACCTGCAGCTGCATGTGCTCCGAACTCACCTTCAGATGCTACTGTGGAAGGCAGCCAAAACCAACGTGACCCACCTGAAGAAGCTTTTACATATTACCAACTTTGGTTGGAGTATCAAAGGCTTCCACCATCACACCGACCATTCTCAACAGCGCCAGTTGCTCCCAAGCGCTCCTGGATGTAGTGAGCTGCAGCTGCAGCGCAGAGGGCAAGGCATGCAGCAGGAAACAGTTGCAGCTGCAACCGTGCAGGCCTTTCATGCACAGATTATTGCAACTGCGAGGGAGGAGTCGCCTGTTGTAGTCAATTCACGAAAAATCAGATGGACACCGAAGACAATGAAGAGGAGCTAGGTGTAGATTGACGACAATGACAATGATGATGATGCGGATTGAGGAGTAATGAGGATGAGGAGTCATAGAAGATTGTGGACAACTACTGTTTATTGTGTACTGTTTAAGGATGTTTGCTATATTTCTCGTTGAATTTACATTAAAGTGTCTTATTTTGACCGTTGACCTTTGTTTTTGACCTTGACTTGACCCCATATCTTAAAAAAAACTCCAGAAATGGACTCCCTGCCCTCGAAAACCCCTAAAAGAGGTATTGCATGACACTCTGGGCATCGAGATCACAAATTGTAAATTGACAAAATCCAAGATCGACGGCGGCGGCCATCTTGAAATTCCAAGAAATGCTCAACGATGCACAGGTAGCAACCAAGCTAAATCAGCTCTCCTAACTATATAGGAACACATTTCATGAAAAAAGTTCAAAGTAATTAACATTGCAGGGTCAACATTTTGGCAACTGGACTATAAGTCTTGACAGAGGCTTGATTTTTCACCTCAAAAATGCTAAAAGCTCACGAGCTTCCGGGGCTTCGCCCCTGGGCCCCACCAGGGGCCGTTAGGCGCCGCTGACCCCACCATTAGTTCTCGCGCTACGCGGTCACAACATTTTGCCCCCAACAATTCGCGTGCCTCCGTTTGCCCCCACTTTTACAATCCTGGTGCCGCACTGGCAACTGCAACCCGTAGCGATTCTGACGGCTTGCGACGTGTCGCTCCAATCGCTCCCAAATTGCTCTAGAATTGCCTCGAAATTGCATGTGTGCGCACACGCGGTGACACATTGACCGATCGCTTGCGGTTGCATGTTGCAGCGATGAGCAACCAAAAATCACAGGTGCGCTAGGCTTTAGAGAGAGAGAGAGAGAGATAGAGAGAGAGAGAGAGAGAGAGAGAGAGAGAGAGAGAGAGAGAGAGAGAGAGAGAAAGAGAGAGAGAGAGAGAGAGAGAGAGAGAGAGAGAGAGAAAAGAGAGAGAGAGAGAGAGAGAGAGAGAAGAGAGAGAGAGAGAGAGAGAGAGAGAGAGAGAGAGGGAGAGAGAGAGATTTACATGCACATCACTTACGTATTTGTGCGCCTAATGTTTACCTGACCTTATTTGACGCCAAGTTTCGTTTTTTCGCTATTTCAACTATTACGAAGCGAGATGGTTATTTTAGGGAGGCGGGATTGAATTTATTTATGGGAACGGTAACCAGCCAGATAAATTTTTTCGTGATTGGGAATGGAATAAATTTAGACTTAGGTATGCCGCCGCTCCTTCGCCACTAAATTATATTATATCTTGCGACAACCTCTGCGAACAGTTGATATACTATATATTTATATATATATATATATATATATATATATAATAGATAAATAAATATAGTATATATATATATGTGTGTGTCGTGTGTGTGTGTGTGTGTGTGTGTGTGTGTGTGTGTGTGTGTTGTGTGTGTGCATGTGCGCGCGCGCGTGCGTGCGTGCGTGCGGGGCGTTCGGTGCGTGCGTGGCGGTGGCTGCCTGGCATGGTGCGTGAGTGCGTGGGTTTATACGCGAAGCCGCAC